CATGATTTCAATTTTTTTTTTTTTAAATGTATATAAATCTTTGGTAGAATCCATGCCCAAAATTATAGATGAAAAATTTATTGCATGAACACAACCCAGCCATATAAATTTTTTATTACAAATAGGGCTCTGAAACTTGAATAAAATATGTCAGTTTATTATACAGTATTCCCCCCACCCCCAAAACATGATATGAATGGAAAATTTAACTTGTGCACTTCTGTGGTGCTCCTGGGAGGTGCTGGGCTGGTGGTGGAGGAGAGGAACCTGCTGTATTTCACTGCAGAGCAGGCTCAGCATGGGCAGTGGCGGTGCTGCCTTGCTCATCTAGCATTGCCGGTCATTTTTTTCCTGCACTACGCGGGGATCACCTTTACTGTTTCCAGGATAGATGTGTCTGCACCTGTGGTAGCTCGCGGGCTGCTCAGAGGCTCAGGTTCTGCTGGGGAGCGGCTCTGCAGAGGTAAAAAATGATCTTGGCACCCATTCGCTGGGTCTGCGGAAACCAGCAGACAATGAAGAGGGTCACTGCCACCCCTGTGAATTCCAGGCTGGATTCAGCCTGCCCTGGAAAACACGGTGTGGTTTAGGGAGTGCTCCACAAAGTGTCCCGTCTCTCCCCAGTCAGGTGGCCATGGAGTGGTTTAGCGCTGGGAAGTGCCATGGCACTCAAAAGAGGCTTTTTTGGTGGAGGAGTGCAACAACACTTCACCGTCTGTGTCACGGTCTACAAAAAAGAACAACATTGTCAGTCTGTTGACATTGGTCCTGTCCACGGGCCAGACTTTCCTGGGAAGGTTTTATTCTTTCCAAACAATGGAGCGCTCCCTTCCAGTGCCGCCAGCCCTGCTTCCATGCAGCCGCCGTGCAGCCCAGCTGGAGCTGTGCTCCTGCTGCAGCTGAAAAGGAAAACTGCAGCCTGAAAAGTCCAGAGCTTGCGTCCCAGAGCTGGAGATCCCTGCCTGCAGAGGGTTTGGGATCAGGCAGGTCTGGGGCTCGGTCGTGCTGAGGTAGCATATGCTTAAGGAACAGATCCAAAGAGGAGCAGAGAATAGAGACGTGATAGGAAATGCTACTTTGAAAAACTAGCCTGTTTTGTTGTTTGCGTATTTTTTTTCTTTATCCCTTAATCATAATTGATTCTTGGAAGTGGAGAGTAAAATAGCTTCAACATGTTTTTTTGATCCTGTTTGCCATGGTTGTGGTTGATACCAGATCCCCTTGAGCTTCTCTTGACCAGTAACCTTGAGCCCAGTGCACAGACTCACTGAAACCCCAGCTAGCTCAGGGTTAAAAATTCCAACCACTAACTTTCCTCTAACTAAAAAAGCCCCCAAATAAAACCCATTGTGCTATTCAAGGTTAAGCTTCCTTAAACATAAAACTAGATTCCTTGGTGATTTTTTTTTTTTTAATCAGCAATCTTAATAGTGGTTCCTCACTATAATATTTCCAACTCCATCTGAAATCATTTAAATCCTCCCCTTAATAACATGCACTTTATTGTAATATACAGATTCTTTGGCTTCCTACCAGCCTTAGCTTAAGGCACCAATGAAACTCGTTGCCGCAGGGGGCCATGGATTCAAGAGGGGCTCGCATCTACTGTATATTTTGTTTTGTATGTTTTCCAATGGCTCTAATTATTGCAGGTGGTAGAATTTAACTGGCAGTGTTGTTGCTAAAGAAAATAGGCATAAAGTGTATACTGTTTTGCAGAGTGGCTATCAAATATATAGAAAAGAGAAAATCAAATGAATTGTTAAACTGCTCTATAGTAAGTGATTTTATTGATTTAATGCAAATGCTTATGAAAACGATCTTCCATTTATATCAATTATGTATGGGCAAAAATTAATTTATTCCTCCGGTCACCTGTTTGGCTAACTGACTCAGCAGGACAGACATTCCCCCTCCTGTTGTAGCCGAGCCCGCAAAACATTAAACGTTCAGAAAACTGGAATTTGAAAGTTTCCATGTGCAAAACAACAAAAAAGCCCCGACAGGAGTTAGTGCCAACTGCTGAAAAAGCAGAGAGCGAGTGGTGGAGGCTGAGCAAGACTCCCTCGTCCTAGGCAAGACTGTAAAACACAACGGCTCTGATTTTGCCAATCCCTTAACCATGTGGCGGCACATTTATATGTGCCGGATCATCTGCGGCATCTGAATAAAATCAGGGAAGCAAAATTCTGCATATAAACATTTTGGCTAAGTGCCTCAACTCAGTCTTCTTATCTGGGGTTTCCACAAGATGCCACCTTGCATAACAATGCTGAGCACACGCTTGCCCAGTCCATGTTTTCGGTAGCCTCCCGTGATCCCCACCGCAGGATTGAGTGGCTTTGATTCTACCTCGTCCTGTGTTTTACTGCCCTGTGCCTCTCCATGAAGAATATGCTTGAAGCTGTGCTGTCTTTTCCTGGGAAATTAATATTTAATTTCAGCAGAAGGGGTGGGTTGCGGGGAAGCAGAATTAGGGAAAAAAAACGCTTTCGCCAGAGCCGAGGTGATAAAAGGGGAAAGTTAAAGATTCAGCGTGCAAACAAACGTCCTACGGCCAGTGGAGCCCCTCTTGTGCCACTAGCCTTGGTGTTGGAAAAACAGCACTCGAGGCAGACAAAAGTACTTTGTTTGTTCCTCCCAAGCCAGGAGCAGCTCGGGCTGTGTGTGCTGCCCACCGGCTGCAGGGCTGTGCTGGAGCCAAGGTGCCAGCGCCGAGCCCGGCTCCCGCGGCCGCCACCGCGGCCCTCTCGCCGCCTCCCTGGCTCGTTCCAAATTTTAGGAAAGGGAAACACGCTCCCAGTGCCACATTTCAGCAGGAACGTCTCCAAATCTATAAATTTTTGTGGGATTCTGAGCCTACTTGAAACATAAAGCCCAAACTCTGATTGAGCCATGGCTGGCTGGAGGGAAAGTAAAACCTAAAAAATAAGCAAAAGGCTAATGCCCGCCCTGTAAAATGAAATCCGTTGAATGTTGACTTTGAATGTTAACTAAATATTTTACATTCCTAATATTTTACCTTTGTTTCTACCTTTGCGGTGTCGGAAACACGAAACTTCTTGCCAAAATCCAGAATACAACAGCGCTGTGCATGTTACCCCCATAGTGTATCTGCTGGCACTGATTTCAGCTTCAGGGAGAGATAATTCAGTAGATCAATATTTAAAACAAAATTACAGAAGTGAGGAATTTTTTTCCCCCCCTTAGCTTCATTGGCAAAATTATTAAAAATAATAAATACAAAAGAGAGGAAATGGATTCTGGGATGTACTGGGTATATACCACATTTTAGGGGAATTTAATTGATTTTTAATAGAAGTATCATGACTGAATCTTTCTTTGCTAAATATTCTGAGTGGTTATATTCTGAAATTTATCAAGTTTTGTTTTGTGAGCGCTTTTTTTTGCTTGTAGTTTTTAATTTATACAAGATTGTCCTCTAAGCTTCTGAATGATACCTAAAGCAGACAGTCAGCAGGTAAAAAAAAATTTGAATATTTAAAATAGGCATTTTCTTTATAGTGCTCTGCGGTAATTAAAATCTTCATTTGCTTAAAAGCAAGGAACCTTTCTAAAGCAATAAATTAGCATTGCTTGACCCAAGGTCACTAGTAGTACTGCTTCTTCCAGCACTATTAATACCTCAAAGAAAAAGAAGGGGTGGTGTTATGACTCTGTTGCAATAGAAGTAAGATTTTCAATTTAATCACAGTTAAGTGTCGTGACCTTTTGATCTTGCATTGACTTCTCACTGAAATGTGGTCAAATTTCAGACAGCTAGTTCCAAACTCTGCAAAGTCAAGGTGAAGTCAGGAAATGGGTTTGCCACGATGAGGGGTGGTGTTGAGGCATTAGCAAGCGGTTTCATCACCTCAGTTTTGTTCCACAGCAAAAACTTTTTCTGCAGGATCAATAAATTACAGAACAATTTCTGGGGAAAGGGAAAAAAATGTATTAATTGCAAAAAACAGTTATTTGAGGGATTTCTTAAAAAATATTTTTTCCCACAGGTAAAGGGACTTTTTTTTTTCCAGTCCATAGTGACAGAAATAATTAAGAAGGAAAATACTATTTGACTAAAGCTTCTACTAAGAATAATTTTTGGACCAAAGAGCCATCATCTTCACATAAAGCAGAGTTAATAATGTGTAAAAAATGCTAAACACTCATATTTACACATACCCTTTTATAGATCATTTTATTATTTTAGGCAAATAAATTTTGCTCATTGGAGAGTGTTAGCTGGGAGGTTGTGGGATTATTTACACAAGTTCTAAAGCAGGTCATCCAGTATCTGGACTCACTTATCCCACTGCAAATCACCACCAGCACCGCGCATTTTAGGGATCTTGTGGTGCTGTAACCACTGCGAAAGCACGCCAAAAAAATCAGCTCTTCCCTCAGTTTTGCAGATTTTGTTCCAGAAATGTGTAGCCAACAATCTCCACGACTATGTAGGGTTGCTAAGTTACCTTTCTATGCCTGCTTGGAGATATGTTTTGAGACTTTACTATGTGTTGGAGTAAGGCTCTGGTTTGTATACAACATAGAGGCTGCATTATAAAAAAAACATGTAGGAGAGTCGTTTAAATATGCCTTCTTTAAAAAGAAGGATTCTCAAAGCTTAATTTATGCCAACACACACACCCCAAGCACTCTGTGTAGTGCCACTAATGGAACAGCTTCTCTTCCTTTTTGTGTTTAGCTAAGGTAGACCTCAACAATTTTTCTTGGCCCATCGGCAACTGAGTTTTGTTTTACTACTCATATTTAGGAATTAGAATAAGGTTTTTTTTTTTTTTTTTTTTTTTTTTTTTTTTTTTTTTTTTTCTGGCTAGCAAACATGTTACCTAGGCACGGGACTTTTGCATTATCATGTCCTAGTGCAACACTCCTGTCCTCAGTTTGTACTCTCAGCCTTTTGAGGAAGTCTGGCGCCTCTGATCTATTTTCCACAGCAGACCCTGTAATTTTTGGCTGTATTTTATGTTTTTCAGATTCAAGTCAATCTGAAAGTCCCAGCCAGCCAAGTGAAGCTGATATTAAGGACCAGCCAGAAAATGGTAAGTTCTTACCTGCTGCTCCTGCTTTGGGATATTAAAACAGCCCATATTTATAAAGATTTTTTTTTTCCCCATGTCTTATATAAAAAGATGATTCAGAATATTTGACATGGGATGGCTACAAACAGGTTGTGCACTCTCCTCATGGTTAAAATGCTACTGTGTCACTAATCTAAGGTAGCATTCCTTTGTCCAGTCCTGGAGAGAGACATTTTTTTTTTCCCCCTTTAAAATTAATTTTAATTAGGGAGATGCCATTAAAGAGCCTGCTGTATGCAACCCTTATCCTTATTCCTCCATAGCAAAGGCTTTCAGTCCCTGGGCCTTGAGTCATGACCTTCAGGGCAGTAGATAGAACAGGAGAAGAGATCAGGGATGTTCAGCTCAGCTCCTCGGTGCCTCTCTCCGCGTTCTCCAGCGGCAGTGGCTGGAGTGGAAGCATTAGAAGAACTGGCAATTTTAGGGAAAACTCATATTCTCTGCACCAGGACAGATTCAAAGTTGAAGCAATGGCTTTTACTGGACCAATAGCTGGCTTTGTAAAGCAGCCTGAAAAAAAAAAAAATCATTCAATAATAGTGGATTTCTGTGGGGACTGTATGTGAAAAGATGACTATGTGTGTAATGGAACAGCTTCTCTTCCTTTTTGTGTTTAGCTAGGGTAGACCTCAACAATTTTTGTTGGCCCATCGGCAATTACTTATATTTAGGAATTAGAATAAGTGATGATTATTATTAATAGTTTTTCTTGACTTCTTTTAGCTACAATCAGAACTTTTTTTTTATGGGGAATATGTTGCCTGTGTTTATTAAATCATATTTTAATTTAGAATGTATTAGGCACCAAGCATGTTATTATTTCGTGTTTAAATAATATTCTTTCGCAGCTATTAAAGCACAGTTCATCTTACCCTGCAGTTTCTTAGTCTTTAACAAAGCTTGCTACTCAACAACTGCCCCGAAAAGCAGCAATGTCAGTGTTTAATAATGTAGAATCTGTAAAAGCCTAGTGAAATGAAATATCCCTGATTTGGAGCCTGAGTCTTCTTTGTAAAACAATCTTTTAGCGAATTCTTGGAACTTTGCTGCTGACCTGCAATAGGTACTTTAAATTTTTTTTTTTTAATAAACAGGAAAAGGATTTTTCTCTTTTTTTTTTTTTTCTCAGTTTTACTAAAGGGTATTTTTTCCCCACCACAGCAGCAGCCTCCTCACTGGTTCTGCACCTTCTGCAGTGCGTGTGTGGGAGATTTTCTAAGGCAGAGTGTTGGCCCTGAAGGGCTCCTTCCCCCCGGGCAGGCTGAGCTCATTCCCAGCACACACAGCCCCCAGCTCCGGGGTACCCGGCGTAGATCAACACAAATCTGCAGCTCTTATCTCCTGGACGTGAGGATGAAAGCAAAACTGCAGCCTTTAGAAAATGAAAAACTGCACGCACAGAAACAGACACAATAAATCATATTAACTGCGTTGTTCTACACTTGCTGTAGACCCACTTCCACAGGGCCTGGTCCAAATCCCTCCGGAGTCAATGGGAGGCTCGTAATTGATTTTACTGAGAGTGGGAATGAGCCCACACAGAGAGGAAATTTTTTTTTTTAATTATTTTTTTTAGTAGAAGAAAAAATAGAATCGTGAATAATCTCATTCCCAGTGATGCCAACAGTGGAGTGGCCAGATTGAGGGCAGATCTGGAAGCATTTTTGCATGTGTTTCTGGAAGGCACAAAGAAGTGTATCGATTCAGTGCTGCCTTTTCCATGCATGCATTCCTTCATTTTAAAAAAATAAATCTTTAAAGGCCTTGTGAGGGTTATACAGCCTCTCTACTTGCCTGTTAATATCCTTTCTGTTCCACTCCATAAATTCTAGAGCTATTTATTATACACATATATTTTGCATACCTTGAGTAATGTAGGTTCAGAAGGGTCAACTATACGGCCCTGAAAAAGAAGGCCTCCTACTACAGATTTTAATTTATCATCCTAAATTGTATGTGTTGTTTTGAAAAGCCTGTATGTCTAACCTTCATTGAAGTGAAGTTCATGGGGAAAAAAAAAAAAAAAAGCTTTTCTCTTTTAGAGTCACTCCTGTTTTTTTTTTTTCTAGTGGGCTTTGCTTGTTCATTTTCTGGATCAGGATCATCACAGACAGGGAAGATGGTGACACCTTCTGCTCTTAGTGGTGCCTTCAGCACCAACTCTGGTCTTTCCCTCAGCCTTCATTAAGCCAGAATAGTTTCCAGGCAGTCATCCAGTCACCACTGCAAATATTTAACAGAAATATGAAGCATTTAATTATTTCTAAAGACAGAGATGCAGCATGATGGCCATGAAAACCAAACTTGCAGGCGAGACAGGGCTTGTTGGTGCATGGACAGTCCAAGGTCCAGATGTTTTATGCTGAAGCTGGGGGTAAAACTAACACAGGGTGTGCACAGTGCTGCTCTGTCACCATGGGAAACAGCATTTTGGGGAGAGGCAGAAAATCCAGAATTCCTCTGCTTGTTGTATGGGTGAGGAAATTTGCAGGAGGAATAAGGAAAGAGGCCAGCAACTTCATCTGAAAGGCAAGAACATTTTTTGATGCCCTGATATTTTGCTGAAACCAGGGATTTTTTTTTCTGACCAGCTGGGTGGAACACCCATGTGGAAAATTCCCCACTTTTGTAGTTGCCTAATGGTATGTAAAAGCTTCATTTCAGTTGGCACCACAAAGTGATTTTGCAATTCACCCAATCAAAAAAAAAAAAAAAAAAAAAAAAAAAAAGGGGGGGGGGGTATTGATTTTAAAAGCTTGTTAAATGCACTGGTTTGGTGTTGTGTTTTATAAACAAAGTAGTTTCCAGTGAAGTGAGGATGACAAAATGGGTAGTCTGATGTAGTGAAGTGACTGCATGCCTGGGGATCAGGAACAACTGAATTCCCAGCTCAGCACTGCTATGGACACTCTCTCAGGCTTTTATTTTCACTTTCAGTCATGGAAACAGCTATCAGATAGATTTTCTTTTTGTAAGTAGGATTATTTTAAACTTTTGTAGGGAAACCTTTTGGTCTTTTTGTCTGCAAAGCGGGGATATTTCCGATTCTGGCTTTCAGAGAATATGAAAAGTTGGATTTTGCTCTGCTCCATCAGGAGCTGAACTCTGGAGAAAGGCAGGGAGGATGTAGCAGAGCAGTTAATAACTGGTACAGAGCTGTGCTGCTGCTGTCAGTAAATGGATGTCAGGCAGTGTTTGTGTTTGATGTGGTGGCACTGGTGAATTAATAAGTGCAGCGTAAAGGTGCACACGAGGTGTGCTGTGCAGAGCAGGAGAATGCTGTGTCATTTCTGACAGGCTGCTCGTGCCTCTCCAGCAGGGGACTGTGATTTGGTGCCTCAGAGCTGGTAGCACAGCACTTTGATTGTAGATGAGCGAGTTCTTTTTAAAGAAGTTGGTAAATTCTCCCATTTCAAGTGAGCAGGGCAGCATTCATTATTGCAGCTGACTGCAAACCTGTGCCAAATCCATTGCTCAAACAATTTCTGAAGAGGGAGAGGCATTTTTCTAAAAAATAAAAATGTGTAATGCCCAAACCAAACGCTTTTTAGCTTTAATGCAGTCTCACTGCTTTGAGCTGCAAGTACCTTAACAGCACTGCAGGAAATGAAAGGCACATTGTTCACTGAAACATTAAAAAAAAAAAAAAAGAAAGAAAAAAGCAAAACAATGATGCACCGTAACTCGCAGAACTCGTTTTTCAACCCTGCAGTAATTACACTGGACTTGTAAATATCATCTGTGAATTCTTTGCTGAAGTAGGGTTGGACTTGAGTATTAAACCTTAAAAAAAAAAAAAAAGTTTAAGTATATGCTTACTTTTCCATGCCTAAAAACAGAAAGGAAGACTTTCTGGTCCTTGAGCTGTGGGGGAAAGAGAAGGCCACAGTGGGAACAAATGCAAAGAGAAGTTTCTTCTTCTCCAGGCAACGCTGGTCACAGAAGGCATGATTTAGCTTCGGCTGAAAGGGAGGAGGAGATTATGTGTGGGAAGACCCCTCTGCCTAAACTAACAAGCTGCAGAGTCCAGTCCCTCTGTGAATGCTTTATTTCTGGTCCCAAATGTGGCATTCCAAGCAGTGGGATAGCTCGGGCCAGTGGAAGCAGTGCCTGCCTGCCCCAAGGCTTGGGCACTCTTCTTGGACACAGAGCTCACCCTTCAAACCCTCATCCCAGGCAGAGAACTAGTGACAGCTCACGGTGGCTGTCCCCAACACACATTCCAGGTTAAATGGCAGCTGAGTGACATCCAGTTCATTCCACAGCTAGATTTTTCACAAGGGGAAATGTCCTGCCTTCCAAAGCCATCCCTTCTGCTCAGGCCATGCCTGACCTCTCCTCTCCACTGCTTCAGGTGGAGTCCAGCTGCCTCGCAGGCTTTCAGAGCTGAAACAGAGCTTGATGCCAGCTCTCCAAGGAGATGCTGGGGTTGTCTGGAGGCTCCTCTGTCCTTGGATAAGCCCCTCAGCTCCCACCTGAGGAGTGCAAGGACGCCAGCAGTCCTCTGAACACACAAGGCTGAAGCTGGTGCTGTTAGAAAACACACGGTCTCAGATGACTAACATTCCTGAAACACCTCATTTTCAGGAGATAACTGAGCCTTGCAGAGAAAGTTTTCTATCAGTTACAGCTGCAAAGGCAGTAATACAGTAACGGCAGCTTTTATTAATGTTCTTGTTCATGGGATTATTTGCATCAGAATCTTATAAATGCAAGAAGACTCTCCTCTCTTGTTTACAGAGCCACGCTGAGGAGTTATCACAGCCTGAGGGACTAATCTAAAATTAACTTTCTTCAGAAAAAGCTTTAAAAAAAAAGCCCTTAGCATTTCCAATAAGGAATCTCATCGCTGGCGCCGAAGTCAGAGCTCCTGGTGATGTCAGCTTGTTTGCACCTTTGGAACTTGCCAGGACCAAATTCTGAACAGATTTGCACCCTTACGGATCACGTTGTGTGCTGAC